CGGGACGGGGTCGGGACGGGATCCGGACGGGGTCGGCACCGGGTCGGGACGGGGCTGGGACGGAGCGGGATCGGGGTTGGGGAAGGGTCGACACTGGGTCAGCACTGGGTTTGCACCGGGTCGGGACGCGGTCGGTGCGGATTCCCGACAGAGCCTCGGTCTCCACGCAGCCCCCGCGCCTTCGTCCGCGCGGGGTGGGGTCCGTGCCAGCCCGGCGCTGCAGCGGGGCCTGTGAGGGGAGGTCGGGAGCAGGATTCGCCTCCAGCTCCCGCACCACCCTGGACCTTGGGCCTGTCCGCCAACCGGTCTGCGTAGCTTTTTCCACTTGGAAAGATGGAAGAACGCTGCTTATAAATTGAATATTAAACGGGAGACTAGATGTCATTGCACTTAAGAGTCACGCCTGGCATGTTGGACGGGTGGTAGAGAGTTTGCGGTCTTTTTTCAGCCTGACCGCAATCCCGCAAAGACCAAGCGGCATCATTTCCCTGTGCTCCACGGTTGCGGGTAGGAAAGTGTAGCTGAGGGAGGAAAGTAGAAGTGAGGTTTGAACCCAGGTCAGTGCCTTGAAACCCGGAGATCAGGGCTGTGCTAGCCGCACGCGGGATGGGGATCATCTGTCCCAGGAAAAAAGTGAATCATTCTAAGCTACCAAGGTGGGAAGTGGGTCCTCTGCTTTCCTTTCCTCTGTGTGACTTGGCTGTGTCATTTTGTCTCTGCCTCGGACTCTTCCGTGACTGATAAAATGTGCGATGTTTTGAGCCTGGCGTCCGGACTTGACGCTAAGGGTATGGTTGCTTCTCTTTCACATTAGCGTTGGGACCATTTGAGATGAGCGTATGATCTACTTATAATATAAATATTATTGGTCCTTGAGAAGGAAGGAAGGAACTTTCGACCTATGCTACCACTTGGGTGACCCTGGAGAACACAATTCGAAGTGAAATAACGAGTCACAAAAAGACAAGTATTGTATGCTTCTAAGCTATCTAAAGAAGCCAAATTTGTAGAAACAAAAAGTGTAAAGGTGGTTGCTAGTGTTCGGGGGTCGGGAAAAGGGAAGTTGTTTAATGTAAATGGAGTTTCATAGTTTCGATGTTTGTTTTTTGTCTGTGCTGGGGATCAAACCCAGGGCCTCACACATGTGCAGCCGCCACTGAGCTACACCCCCAGCTCCTAGTTTCTGATTTGCAGGATGAAAAGTTCTGGGAAGAGGTTGCATGATAAAGTGAACATACTTGGTTTCTTCTTTTTTGGCGGGGGGAATTACAAGTGTGCACCACACACCCAGCTTTATTTATTTTTTTTATTTTTGCTTTTATTTATTTATTTTTTTTTTGCTTTTAATTGTGGTAAAATATACTTAACATAAAATCTGCCATCCTAGCCGGCCGAGGTGGTATACACCTTACTCTCAGCAATCTGAGAAACTGACACTGGAGGACTTCGAGTTTGAGCTCAACCTGGGCAACTTAGGAAATTAGCAAGATCCTATTTCAAGATAAGAAAGAAAGAAAGACAGAAAGGAAGAAAGGAAGAAAGGAAGAGAGAAGGAAGGAAAGAAAAAGAAAGGGGAAGGGAAGGAAGAAAGGAAGGGAGGGAGGGAGGAAGGGCTGAAGGTGGAGCTCAGTGTGAAGTGCCTGGATTCAGTCCCCGGAATAGGAAAAAAAGCCAACAAGGAAGATTGTCACCCAGACTCCTTTGTAACAGGATTTCTCCTGCATTCTGTTTTGTTTGTTTGTTTGTTTGTTTGTTTTGTTTTTCTTCCAGTACCAGAAATCGAACTCACGACCTTGTGCTTGCCAGGCAGGCGCTTTGCCGCTGAGCTAAATCCCCAGCCCCTCTCCTGCATTCTGAATAGAGGGGTTGAAGGGGCTGGGGATTTAGCTTAGTGGCACAGCACCTGCCTGGCAAGTGCAAGGTCGTGAGTTCAATTCCTGGTACAGGAGAAAAACCAAAACCAAAAAAAAAAAAAGAATAGAGGGGTTGAATCTGCTTTCAGCTGGAGCTTAATGTTCCACTCTCCACTGGAGTCCGCAGATTTCCCTGAGTGTGGGTGCAGGGTGTGGCTGCACTGTTTCTTCTGCTTGACTTGGCACTGGAGTTTTCCCCAGGTTTCCTTGCTTTGCTTTCCCTTGCTCTGCAGGAGGGTTGGCATTTCCCTGTGGGGACGGGGTTCCTTGGTTATTTACAGAGCAAATCTTGGAGACTCTTCCGAGTGCCACTCAGGGAGAAGTAGTGTTTTGTTGCCCTCAGGGGGAGCGCTTCTGAAAGTCGACTTGGGCGAGAGACGGGCAGCTTCCTCAGGGCGGGTCATCCTGCATTTTCTTTTCTGCCTTGGTTTGTAGCCCCAGTCTAATGCACAGTGGTCCTGGGCCTCTTGCAGACCCGAATCTGCTCCAGCAGTCCAAGGCCAGGTGGGCATCAGATGGCCTGTGATGGGGGCTGTGCTGTGTGTGGAATAGTGAGGTTAACCTGGAGAATTGGGTTGTTCTTTATTTCCCCCTCCTCTCCTCTAGGATGCTTGAATAGTGTCTGGAATTTCCTCCCCAGCAAACTCTGTCTGCTAAACTTAATGGCCACTGGGAACTGGGATTCTTCCCTGGACTGATTGTGAACTAGGAGCTTGTGTGTGTGTGTGTGTGTGTGTGTGTGTGTGTGTGTGTGTGACTGGATGAACCCAGGGCCTTTGCCTGAGTTACACTCCTAGCCCTTTTTATTTCTTATTTTGAGACAGCCTCCCTAAGCTGGTCAGGCTGAGTTTGAACTTGTGAGCAGCCCTCCGCGGCCTCCCACAATGTTGAGATTATAGACACCACCACACCTGGCTGCAAGCTTCTTAAGTAAATGGCCTTTCTCTTTTCTTTTTTTTTCTGGGTGCTTTGCAGGGCCTTTGTCCTTTTTGACATGAGCAGACCGCCCAGTCCGGGGCAGGACATTTCTCCTAGTAGCCTGCACTTCCTGGGCACACCTTGGAGGAAACGCACTGGCCCTCGGGTTCTTTCTCTCCATACCCTATTTTCAGGTTTGGATTCTCAACATCTTCCCCAGGGTGAGGGTCTGCGGGCATCTGGGCTGGGAGCAGCTTCTCATATTGCCCACGAAACCAAGGAGAATTCTGTCTGTGCAAAGCTTCTGCTCATATGCCATGTTTGGAGTGCATATCGTGTTCCTTTTTTACTGAATTCCCTCAGTTGAGATTAAAAAAAAAGAGCAAGGCTATGGGAACGACTGAGTCTTTGGAAATATTAAAAGGGAGAAGAGTGTGAGGAGCCCAGTCACTGTCAGAGCTCTGCTGGCCGCGCGCCCGAGGCCTGTGCTCTCTCCTCTTAGCGGGAGCAGTCATGTTTGAGGGCTGCATCTCTCTAGGGCTTGGGACTAGCTTTCAAGTCAGAGATTTATGGAGCTGATGAGGGCGGACGAGTTTCAAGAGTCCCAAAGGCAAGTCCAGCTCGGTAGGAGGGGCTGTGGTGAGGGGTTAAGGTGCGCTGTCTCCCTGCTGGCCCGCACCTCACCTTTTCCCTCCTCTCCCCTCCCGCTTCCTCCCCCTCCCCTCCCCTCCCCTCCCCTCCCTCTCCTCCTCCCTT